GTTTGATTCTTAGAAGGCAGGTGCTCTTAAAAGTTGGTGGACCAACATTTCTTTAAAAAATTTGTGGGGCAAAAATTTACAATGAGCGTTCGTTCACAAGCTGAGGTAGATTGCGGAGTGTGCAAGGAACCCGAAGAGGGCAAAATGGTTCAGTGTGATGACTGTGACAAGTGGTTTCACTTTCAGTGCGCAGGTGTCTCAGACGGCATTGAGAAGTCCTCCTGGGCCTGCAACGAATGTACACAAAATAGCACGGTCGTTAATATGGAACCACCAACTACAACAACAACAACAAATCCAACTACAAGTAATGCACAGCCGATGGACAACATGGGGTATACCCATGGGGTAACTGACTCCTCGAAGATCAATAGCAAATTTGATATGAATTTGGAGCTGCAGCGTCTGGAAGAGGAAAGACAAGCAAATCTACGTTACATAGCAAGAAATTATGACATCCTCAGTAAACAACAAGTTGCAGCAACTAATGTCACAGAGGCTTCTTGTGTGACAAACGTGAATGGCGTAGCAAGTTTTCGTACGTTTAACAGCACCGCTTGCAACACAAGCAGTTGTATGAAAGGAGTCATAGAAAACCAGCGTGACACTTCAACATTTCCTGTTTCCAACAACGTTGTATATTCCACATTTGAACCAACAGGTATCACCGCTCGCACAGGTGATCAACATAGGCAAGTACACAGCGATGGGGGTCAATTTGGTGAAAACAGTGGTCATAGCGGCTATAATCGTTATGATAATTCATACCAGGGCGATAGATCTTGGGGGGTACCTCTGCGTGCTGAACAGATACAAGCCAGACATGCCATTCCTAAGGAGCTACCAACGTTCAGTGGTAAGCCAGAGGAGTGGCCCATCTTCATTAGCAAATATGAAAGCTCAACGCGAATTTGCGGTTTTAGTAACGATGAGAATATGCTTAGGTTACAACGTGCACTAAAGGTTAAGGCTCTCGAATATGTGAGCAGTCAACTGTTGTTACCTGACCTGGTACCGGAAGTTATTGCCACGTTGCGCATGGTTTTCGGTAGACCTGAATTCATAATTAATAGCCTTTTGGAAAAATTGCGCTCATCACCATTGGTGAATGCAAATAAACTGGAGACATTGATCTCATTTTCAATGGAGGTGAGAAACTTGGTTTCAGCAATGCAAGCTGCGGGCCTAACGGTACACGTAAATAACCCAATGCTTTTACAAGAATTAATTTCTAAGCTACCGGCTAGATATAGCTTAGATTGGGCAGTTCATTGCAGACATATCGCTGGGGCAAATTTGTCGGACTTTGGCATTTGGCTATACGATTTAGCACATGCAGCTAGTACCATCATGACAAAACCAACCATCGTGAACCAACAGCAGGAAGTACGTCGAACATATCGTGTTGGGTTCCATGAGGAAGAGGAGAGAGGACACTATACCAAGAATAGCGAAGCACGCAAATGCTCAGCATGTGGTGAAAGTCATTTCATTGCGCATTGCGAAAAATTCAAAGCAATGGAGTATGATGACAAGTGGAATATTATTCATCGTATGGAGTTGTGTCGCTCGTGCCTAAAGAAGCACAACCCCAAATTTTGCAAGGATCGTAATGAATGTGGTGTTAACAGCTGCACAGCAAAACATCACCCTAGTTTACACAAACCAGCGGTAATGAACAAAAGGTCAGAGGGCGAAGTAAATCTGATTGCCATGCATGTACAAAATACATCAAAAATATTGTATAGGGTTGTACCAATCACGATCCATAGCCAGCACGCCGCCGTTGACGTGTATGCGTTATTTGATGACGGATCAGGTCCAACCATTATTGAACACGAAGTTATGAAAATGTTGCAACTTAAAGGCGAAGTACGTCAGCTGCGTCTTCGCTGGACTGATGGGAGCTCATCAACCTGCAAGTGTCAGCAAAGGGAAAAAACAAGATGTTTACGCTGAGTGATGTTCGCACTGTCAAGAAGCTTGACTTGCCTGCGCAAACGCTAGTAATGTCAGAGATGTCCAACAAGTATAAACATCTGAAGGGACTGCCAGTAGAGTCTTACAAAGACGTGGTGCCACAAATCATTATCGGGGTGAACAACAAGCATGTGGCCATGCCACTGAAGTTCAGAGAGGGAAAAAGTCACGAACCCGCTGCAACAAAAACTCGTCTGGGGTGGACAGTGTACGGAACCGTTACAGATCAGGACTATTATATTAACAACGACCTGCAGTTGCATGTATGTGAATGCGACAACAACATAGCTATCGACAAGCTCGTGAAAGAAAGCATGAAACTTGAAAACTTAGAACCACATGTAGTGGCACGTATACATGAGAAGACTAGCCAGCAAGACATACTAGAGAAGTGCGTTACGCGAACGGGCGATCACTTTACAACCCGTTTATTGTGGCGCTCTGATAATATAGTATTGCCGAACAATTTTGAATCCGCCATGCGCTGACTTTTCTGTTTCGAGAAGAAGCTAAACAAAGATGACGATTTAAAAAATCGAGTAAATTCCCTAATAAATAGTATGGAACAAAAGCAATACATCCGGAAGCTCAGCGATAACGAAATTAATCAAGATTTTAAACGTAAATGGTATTTTCCCATATTTGCGGTGAATAATCCAAACAAGCCCAATAAGACGCGAGTAGTATGGGACGCAGCAGCTGAGCACCAGGGAAGGTCTCTCAATTGCTGCCTCGAGAAGGGACCGGATCTACAGCGACCATTGATACATGTACTGTTCAACTTTCGTATAGGAAAAATTGGCATTTGTGGTGATATATCCGAGATGTTTCACAGGATTAGTGTGCATGATGAGGACCAGCATTCTCAGCGCTTTCTTTGGCGTAATTGTGATTCGAGTCGAGATCCAAACACATACGTGTTACAGGTTATGTCATTCGGTGCTACTTGTTCACCTTCAATCGCCCAGTACGTTCGTAGTAGGAATGCGAGGGAGAATGCCGACGAGTTCCCACGATCTGCTAAGTCAATAACAGACAGGCATTACGTAGATGACATGTTGGATAGTGTTGAAACCGCAGAGGAGGCTGTCAAGTTAATCAAGGACGTGATTGAGGTGCACAAACGAGGCAACTTCCATATTAGAGGATGGCTTACTAATTCGAATCATGTAGCTGGCGCCCTGGGAAATGCTGGTTCAAGTTACGATTTTTGTACCGCTGGAAAAACGATCGACCAAGTTATAGAGCCAGAGAAGGTACTCGGGTTATGGTGGAGAACGAGTGTAGATGTGTTTACCTTCAGTACAAGGTTCACTAAAGCAGGCAAAGAGATTTTAGGCGGACAAAAGCTGCCAACTAAAAGAGAAATCCTGCGATTGCTCATGTCAGTCTATGATCCTCTAGGGTTCTTATCATTCTACACTATCCGTTTAAAAATTTTGCTACAGAACATTTGGCGAAGTGGTATCGATTGGGATGACCAAATTCCTGAAGAGTATGTGAACGCGTGGCAGCAGTGGTTATCTTTTTTTGAGCAGGTCAAACAAGTTCAGGTTCCCAGATGCTATTTCGGTAAGATGTCAAACAATAATTACAAGATAGAATTGCACGTATTCGTGGACGCTAGCGAGGTGGCAACTGCAGCGGTGGCTTACTTCAGGATTACAAGGGAAGACGAAATTCAGGTTGCTCATGTTAGCTCAAGGACTAAGGTAGCACCCTTGCGACCTATCTCAATTCCCCGAATGGAACTACTCGCCGCCGTACTGGGATCCCGTCTTGCTACTGAAATCACTAAGGGTCATGACTTCAAGATTCATAAAGCGTATTTTTATACTGATTCGAGAACAGTGCTTACATGGCTGAAATCAGACCCACGAAAGTACAAACAATTTGTTATGTTTAGAGTCGCTGAAATTCAAGAGCATACAAACGTTACAGAATGGAGCTACATCCCATCAAAATTAAATGTAGCAGATGCTGCCACGAAGTGGAAGAGTACCACAGAGTTTAGCCCAACCAGTACTTGGTTCTCTGGGCCAGAATTTCTACATTCGCCGCGTGTAAAATGGCCTAAATACAATTATGATATTGACATGGACCATTTCAAAGATGCTGATTTAAAGCCGTACGTAGAGTATATTGGCGCTCATATAGAGAGTCAACCACTCATTGATCCAACTCGTTTTTCAAAGCGGGAACGTCTTGAGAGGTGCATGGCATACGTTAAACGTTTTGCAGATAAATGTAAAGACAAGATACGAGGATTAACCAGCTCGGAGGTAGGATCCGAAAGCTTAACCACCGAGGAACTATACTGGAGTCAATGCCACCTTTATCGGCTCGCGCAGGCCGATGCATATTTTGAAGAGTTTAAGTTGCTTAAGGGTGACCCAGGTTGCAACTTGCCAAAACATTGTGTTTTACGAAAGCTGACACCATTTGTTGACGAAAACAACCTTATACGTCGATGTGGTCGCCTAGAGAATGCACCAATTAAGGATGCAGTCAAAAATCCGATAATATTACCCAAGAACCACAAAATTACACAACTGATTATTGAATGGTATCATCGTAAATATAGGCATGTCCACCACGAGACTGTAATCAACGAAATGTTTCAGCGGTTTTATATACCAAGCTTGCGTCGTGCATTACGCACAGTGCGTCACAATTGTCAATACTGTAAGTTGTACCATGCTAAGCCAGTACCACCAAAAATGGGTTTGTTACCTGAGGCACGTTTATCCCCGTATACACGACCATATTCATTTGTTGGAATAGATTTTTTCAGACCATTCCTGGTTACCATTGGGAGGCGTTCGGAGAAACGATATGGAGTTTTATTTACTTGTATGACGTGTAGAGCTATACACGTTGAAGTGGCGTACTCGTTATCCATGAATTCGTGTGTAATGGCTATTAGAAATTTTATGAGTCGAAGAGGAATACCTATACATGTGTTTACTGACAACGGGACAAACTTTGTAGCAGCAGAAAAGGAATTACGGGAAGCTTTACAGCAAATTAATCTACACGATCTTCAAGAACAGTTTACGAGCGCGGAGATAAAGTGGACTTTCATTCCCCCAGCAAGCCCTCATATGGGAGGCGCCTGGGAACGTATGATCAGAACATTCAAAGACGTTCTATACCGTATCGTGACACCGGAAACAAAACTTAACGACGAAAAATTGTACAACTTATTTGTAGAGATCGAGAGTATTATAAATAGTCGCCCACTTACATACTTGTCTCTAGAGACCGCAGAACAAGAAGCCTTAACTCCTAACCATTTTCTGCTGGGAAGTTCCTCTGGACATAAGCCACTAGGCCAGTTTTCTTCCGTAGATCAATTTGTAAGGCGTTCCTGGCGGCATTCTCAGTATTTGGCAGACAAATTTTGGAAAAGGTGGGTGATGGAGATGTTGCCGACACTGACTAGGAGAACCAAATGGTTCGACAAGGTGAAACCGATTGAAAAGGGTGACGTAGTAGTCATTGCTGACCCAAATCTACCTCGCTATTCGTGGCCTAAAGGCATTGTGGAGAACACGTTTGCAGGAAAGGATGGTCAGGTACGCAGCGCAATAATATGCACACCGGCTGGTGAATATCACCGTCCAGTAGCAAAAATCGCGGTACTCGATGTGAAGAGAGAGACAAGCGGCGACGTTGCATCGTCATAAGGTATTAACTTACCAGGGTCGTTATACCGGGGGGAAGAATGTTGCAACACCGCCTTATTATTAAAACGAGAAGTGAAAGTGTGGCAACCTTAAATTGACAATTAAAATACAACCTTCGGCGTGTATGTACACCAACGCGACGATAGCTGAAATTGAATTGAACTACCATTTTCTTTGCATATTATACTTATTTTATTGTATCGGAAAACCAAAGTAAGAACCATATTTGCCAGTAATTGAATTGTTTGTTAATACTGCTCTCCTTAATAAATAGTTTTTTTAAAGCTACTGTCAACTGGAAACCAGCGTTTGATTCTTAGAAGGCAGGTGCTCTTAAAAGTTGGTGGACCAACAGTTTGGATTCCTTTACTGAACGGCAGTTCGAGCTCCATTTTGGCTGCAGCCAATTGAAGACTGTGATCTCTCATCCACCCACTGCCACACCGAATCAATTGATTTAGTTTGGGCTGAACCAGCTGGGTGTTTATTGCGTTATGACGGTGGCCACGTCGTCCGCAAAGGCGACGACAAAGATGTTCGCCGGCATTTCACTTCGTAGCAGACTGTCATGCGTAGAATTCCAGAGGTCCGGGCCAAGTATAGAACCCTGTGCCGCTCCACCAGCTATACGCCTCTTTCTCTGACACTGAGTTGTGTCGTACAACAGCCGAAACATATCTAACAAATATGTTGGAACATTAAATGACCGTTCCAAAGCTTCTAGCATATCGGGAAATCTTATAGAATTCAAGGCGTTCTTGAAGTCCCAGATGGAATGGAATGAAAAAGAATTGTGGGTGGCCCAAAAAAAACAAGAACAACAACTTTTGCCAAGCACCCAGGCAGTGTTTCCCATTATACTTAAGGCCTTGAGACAGGATTTAGACAAGACACCATTCCATTCTCAATAAATCCGATCCAAGAATGTACCAACTAGGTTAGGTTAGGTTACGTTGGGAGCGCGTGTGTGGAATATTCCATACTTTCGCTCGGAGACAAGATTTTCTATTGTGAATGCCTTCTTTAAGTGAGTGTCAGGAGCTGACACGTGCCTATAATCGAAAGAGTAGCTTCAATTCATTATTACTGCAAATATAGTCAGTTTCAGTATGTCTTTGGAATTTTCCTACTAAGCCGCGTCCATAATAATCTTGTGGTTTCACAGTTTTCCCTTTTGTTCCACAAGTCATTCCTCGCGGCCACGATGTGTTCCTAGATTTTCCTAACGTGATCACTAAGCGGCGGTGGGCTGTTCGCTTTTTCTTTGACAGCTCTAATCCGCATCTGGCCATCCCATTAGCCGACTCATTCACTTCAGTATTTCTATGTCCGGGAACCCAGTATAGAGTAAAGTTGATACGGCTCAGTGACGCCAGCGTTATGCGACATTTCCGTACAATACCCGATTTCGTTATTTTTAATTCCTATTACCTTCAGTGCAGCCTGACTGTCGACAAAAATAGTGGTTTTGTCTTCAGGAAAACTACTACTAAGTAAAAGACTAGCCGCCCTGTCTATGACGTAGATCTTCGCTTGGAAGCCAATGCAGTTCTTCGGTAGATGAAAGGACTGGTTTATCAAAAGGTCCTTCGAGTGGACACCGGCTTCAGTTCCTTATTCCATGTTGTAATCGTCAGTGTGGATGGATATACCGCGCCTGTTCGCATACTTTTGTCGCTTTATGTACCGCCCCGACTACTTCGCTAATTGCGCTATAAATGAGTGCCCATCTTTCAAGACATTCTGACGTCAAGCGAATTTTTAGCACACTCTCCGTCATCTTACCCGCTGAATTTAGCATGTCAGAAGTGAAGGATTATTATTATAATTATTATTATTGACAGTTACTGTGCGAGCAATTCAAAAGCCACTGACTTATCAAACTGCCTTCGTATATAAAAGATACATCAATTTGCAAATTGAAATGTAAACACAAGCATACTTCATTCACACAGTTTCTGGTACAGCCGCCACGCATTTAAGCAAAACAACAATCTGCTGTGTGCACAAGCTATTTATGTACATATATACATATGTACACATGCAGATATCGAAGAAGTATGCTTAGTGGCCAAGCAAATACAAGTATGTTGTGCGGCGGCATGTAACTAACTTTGGCAAAGGTAAGCATGCAGCCAAACAATACCGTGTATCCCACAGCAAGTTGGCGAGAAAACATGTGTTGTCAAATAAACGAACAACTTAACAGCTGTGAGCAGCAACAACAACAACAAAAACCACTGAGCGTATTAACAGCATGGCAAGGACACAATAAAATCACTTGGAAAAGCTTTAAAATAGCACGTACACCTGACCGTGGCTACAAACATACGCACGACTTGAAGCATTTGAGGTATTTGGGTCAGGAAACTCCTGCAAACAGCGTGACGTGTATGTGCATATAAATGCAATTAAACTAGCGCGTATCTTTGAATGTTACGAGTAGTTTTTTAAGTTGACCGATGGAATGCACACGCCAGAGGTGTGCCTTGAATCTTGTGATACTATTTTATGATGATTATTTTGCTTATAAAGGATTTACTAAGTGCACAATGTGCGACTAAAAAATATTAACATATTCATTTAGTAGACGTTTTGGATTTTGGAATTAAAATTTGCACTTCATTTGGACCTCATCTCATCTCAAATCATCGCAACTAGTTCATATCTATACATATGGAAGGTTCCGTGGGAAACTGAACCTCAGTGCTAAAATTATTTTCTTTATAAAACTAACAAACGTGTGGATAATACATTTGTAAAAATCTTGAATCAACCAAAAAGTAACAAATTAAAGTTTTGTATGCATTTTTAATACCTTTCTTTACGTTTTGAAATCAAGTTCTAAGTAAATTTTTTCGACTTGATTAAGGTGAGAGACATTTTGACCAGTTTTGGTTTTTTCTTCTCTTTATTCAATGTTTATAGTTTTTTTTATAAAGGTCTAACACATTAAACAGAACCACATAAATCCACATTTCAAACTTCGTACAAAAATTATAAAAATTCAACAAACTAACAATTACACCCAAAAATTTTAAACTTTTTGTTCATAATTTTTAGAAAAATTGAATTTGAATATGAATTTAAGTAGGTAAAAGTGAAAATTTTAAGACGCTAGAAAATCGTGTTGATTTTTAATAATTTTTTTTGGCTGACGGTGCTGGGCAATTTCTTCTATATAGAAGGCACTATCCTAAAATAAAACATGAGTGAATTGAAATTGGCTTCTTATATTTTTTAATAACTAATATTTAATATGGACCACACTAAAATCTCCTTTTCGTTTAAAAATTCGTACGTGTTCCACCCGTGACAAACGGATTTTCCTTATAATAAAGCCATAGATTTTGCTTTGTTTGTATTCGTGGTTCTTTGTTTTATTATAAGACATCAAGCTCACACAGAAAAGTGAAATAAATTCGCGGAGTTTTCGTAAAATATATCCGGTCCAAAAAGCAGGTCCTTTTTTTTGTCTCATCCGTGACAGAAGAAATAACTCGGACTTTTCCCATATAAAAATAAGCTGGAATTTTTTACGTATTTTGTAATAACTCATATAGTCGTCAATTGGGTGTAGCTTTATCAAGATTTAGAATTGCTCAGTACTTTATACTTAAACTTAAACAAGAAAGAATATATTTTCTGTACAAATGTCCCACCCGTGACGGTGAAATCGCCCATATAATAAAATTGTAACAGGCCGATGTCTGTACATTATAGATCAGCAAATACCCGGCCTGCTTCACGGCGCCTTAAAGGTGTTTTTATGCTGTTTAATCTGATAAAAAAATTTCAAACAGGTGGCAACCCTCTTTAAAATTATTTTCGCCAGTAAACTTGCCTAAAATGTTCACTTTAACTCCCATATTACAGAGTTCAATTTATCTTATCAATTAAATTGAATTAAAATTTTCAAACAGGTGGCAACCTTCAACAAAAATATTTTCAGCTGTAAGCCTTCTAAACCCCTTTCTTTTGGCAGCCATATTGCAATATTTACTTTATGTTATCAATTTACTTAAACTGCAATTTTCAACCAGATGGCAAAGCTCCAAATTTTTTCTTTCTAATCTGGAAGCCGCCGTCAAAGTGGGGTATAACAAGTTGTTCCAGTTTCAACATTGCTCCTGGTTCGCAGTGATTAGCTGTCTAAAGTGGTCGTAGTTTATCTGGTAACGCTATGGACCTTAATAGTCTCTGCGAAGCCACTTAGTGGCTGGCCAGCATACATAAACTAACCTAAGTAGTTTATTACACAAAAAATAGAGCCCCAGATAAAAAACTCGCAAATATTCAGCAGAGGCAAAAAACTATTATTAGTATGTTGCCAATTAAAAAAGAAGGACTTTGGCTAATGTTAGAAATATGGTGTGTGTACTGTTTTGTGGGAAAAAATTAGTTTTGAATTGTCACGGTTTTCGATTTACTACTTCTTTCTTTCTCAAATTTTGTCTATAAAGTTTCACTTTATCCGCGCGTAGGAACTACGCGCACTCAGGTTTTTCACAATCAACTGCGATGGAAATTTCCCAAACGAAACAAGATACATCTTCTGTATAGAGCTGAAGCGTTCTAAATTATTACTTTTTAGCTTAAGCCAAATTAAAATTTATATATGTAGAAATAACGGCAGAATTAATGTTCCCTTACAAAATAAAAGCACTCAAGGGAATGTCGTTTTCTCATAAATTGAATATTACCTCATGCCCGAAAAGATTTTTAGAGAATTATACACACTCTAAAAAATTTTTGTTTAAATTTGCGCATATTAAGATAGGTAACCAGTTTCCTCTCTTAATGAATGCAAATTTAAACATTGCTTGCTTACTTTTACTTATCATATGTGTGGCGTAGAACAAATTTCAAATTAGTTTTTTGAGTTTTAAACATTTATTATTCACATTTTCACAGTTTACACATAAAATGTTTAAAATTTCCTCTAAAAAATTTTCGTTTAAATTTACGCATATAAAGAGAGGTAACCAGTTTCCTCTCCT